TTTAGATATGGCAAATCTCTGTTTTTGTCCTCACCCACCGTCTCCATCATCACAGTCTCCGCCACCATTCTCCACCACCTTTTTCGTTATCACCATCCACCACTTCCATCACCATCAATAACAAAAAAATGAGAAAGAGAAGAAGAAAGAGAGGAGAAGAGAGAAAGGAGAGAAAAGCGTGAGAAGAAGAGGGAGAGAGAAAGAGAGATTATATATTTTATTAAAGAGAGAATATAATTGTCTTTTTCATATAGGTTGTGGTATTTTTTTAATGATTCAAAAATGGCATTTTTAGAAGATTTTTCCAAATAAATGGCATTTTTGATAATTTTATTTACTCCTTTTTCTAAATGTATGGTCAAATTTATGTTCTATAGACAAGTAAATATATATATACTTGAATGCATTTACTTGAATATTACATTTATAATCCGTTCAAAAATATTCAATGGAGGGTAGGCAAATACTGAAATATTTAATTCTTCCACCAGGACATAACAAATAATTTTATTTCATTTTTGGTCAAAGTAATCTATTTAAAGAAAAACAATTATAAGCGAAGGACTTTCTCTAGTTGATCAATGTTTGTGTATCACTTTTCTCTAGTTCCACTTCCACATATGTTCTTATGTATAACGTTCATCATCACAAATTTCACATTCGTTGCATATTATTTATATGAACTGGTACAACATCCACAATCTTACATATGCCCAATTGAAAAGGAAAAGAGAGAGTTTAGTGCAATGTGCAATGGGTGAGGCAACATTTTAACTTCTGAAGCAACCTCGTGATAGTGTAGCAGAGAGGTTAGAGTAAAAGGAAAACGTTTTTAGTAGCAGATAGTTTCCTTTTTGTGGTAGAATCAACTCGGTCCTCAGTCAAATGCGTAGGGATCATCAGCATAAGGATTGAGGGAGCCTTCTGAAAACAGATCTCCTATATTTGCAGAGCGTCGATGATGAGCACTTATGGCTGCCACCTGTTTCATGTACAAGAGAAGACATTCAATGTTGTAAGAAGCTCCAAACACAGCATTGTAAGGAAAGGGTCTCATTATAGAAACCTAGACTAAACATGCCATAATTGTGGCCGAAGCAAACATCTACCGTTCCTTTTTTCCACAGTTTACACAACTCTTCAAGTAAAAGAAAGTGTGGTCGAAATGAACTTAGTCTACTTGAGCGGTACTAACCCTGCTTCAGCACTAGTTCACTTGACTGGGATTTATACATTCCAAATGTTTAGTAAAGTTTCAGGATCTATCTTACCTTACCAATACTTCTGGTGGTTTTAGCTTTGGGTGTAATCCGAGATGATCACCTCTGTGGCTCCTGTAGCCAAAACAAAGGTGAGAGAAGATGGTTGTTGTTGAATATATCTGAATATTTAAGATGAAACAAATCAAAGGGTTGATGCGCAGAACAGGTTACCTCAAACATGACTGTGCTCTTTGTCTTCCTCCGTTTTGTGGCCCTCCCTTTGTTCGTTTCAACTTCATATTCACGACGGGTCACCTGCCAAGTTAAACCACGAAACAAATGAGGAGGTTGGGAGCTGATGTAAAAGTAGTTATAATATAAAGGGTTTTAAATGTTGTTTTACCTTGCTGTGATGCTTTGGACTGCTCATTAAGCTTCTTGGATTGATCTTTTCAACTTTCTTCAACATCTTGGTCACAGGTGTTCTGCTGCCTTTACAAAAGGAGAATACTGCATTTTATCCAAGAAGCGAGAGCAAGAAAATCATATATGCAGACTTTAACCAAGCAGAAACAACATAAAATGGTATTCTATTTCCTACCTGTTCATCGTCATGCACTGCTATATGCTGGCTTCTCTTGCTACCTGCAGGACGAGAACCTCTCACTTTGATAGATGAGACAGAATATTCCTACAAGATGATTAAGTTATCAAAATCAATATATGGTTTGTGTTTTATAAATGTGATGATATAAAGTACTCTTTTAGTGGGAACAAAATGATTTGCGGTTTAACCTTCCTAGAGCTCACTTCCTGAACGTGAACAGGTGCATCTTATAATGAATATTGATAAATACTTACCTTTGATCTCTGAAGATCTAATTCGTCTTACAGCTTTTTGCAATCATCTTCGTACTAACACTTGAATGCTTTCAACTGAACATCATGCTCGTCCCTGAGCGTTGTTATCCTCTGCATGAAGATACAAAAATTACTTGAGTGAGTACCATAGGCTTCATGAACTATCAAATTATGCCTGTTGGTACCTCTTTAAGTTCAGTTTCAGCCTGAATCTGAGCTTGTCTCAGTTGCCCATCGTGCTTCGCTTTGAGATTGAACTTCTTATTTTCATGGTCCTCCCGAATAGTATCTGCAGAACATACAACTTTATCAGCCAATTTGCTACTTAAACCTCCTCAGTGATAAACTACCAAACAGAGAAAAGGACTTTGAGTCAGATATCTCCATTTAGTGCTACTAAACCTATAATTCTGAGGGGGTTGAAATCTCAGAAAATTCAATGCTTGGTGATGTTCAGAAACATCAGATTTAAGAGGAGATTACTATACCAGAGAAGCATGATCCTCCTGAATGGTCAGCAATTCCTGCTTTGATTCGGCTTTACTGTCTGAAAGTTCTTTATCATATTTTGTAGATAATTCTTTGATAACCTTCTCAACCTCAAGTCAGAACCAGAAACATCAGAGCCATGATCAAATTGCTCAGAGCCAATTTACAATAAAAAATCTTGTCAGCACATACTGTTTAAACCATCAAATTTGCTTAGGCTCCTATGCTAGGCTCTTTCAGTGTTACTGGATCTATGATATTTGGACGGAACAATATGAACCAGAAGAGACTACTAGGTAATGTGGACAAAGTTTTTATTCTATGAACGATATCCATCTCTTTGTTCATGATCTAGATCTCTCAAACTACTAGTAATTTCATTGAATTGTACTTGGCATAACACGTACACTGAATTATATATCTATCAGAATTGCATTAAAACATATATAAATACTGACTACAGCTATGTTCAAGGTAATAGGA